AAAAAGCCCGGCAAGAATGAGTGGCGGTTTGTTCAGGATCTCAGAGCAGTTAACGAAGTTGTTATTGCAGCCCATCCGGTAGTGCCAAATCCGACTAACAAAACAGGTTGCAGTCATTAAGTACTAAGCCCACACTGGGTCCTCTGACCCTGTAGCACAAGATAATGCCTATGCTGATGTAGCTGCAAAGCAAGCAGCATTGTGTTATAAAATGTTTAAAGCATGTGTTGTAAAAGAACCTTCTCTTCCTGTTCCCTCTAGCGCTGTATTAGCAGCCCTTCAGGACCAAGCAGAGCCTGAGGAGAAGGAACGTTGGCTTAAAGCCGGATGCACACAAACTCCAAGTGGTGATGTTTTTGTTTGGCATTTAGGTGATTGCCCTGTTGCACCCCGTGCTCTGTTACCATATTTGGTTGCTGCCTCACATGATCTCACCCACACTTTTTATGGGGGGATATGTGATGTAGTGTCAGGAATGTGGTTTGCCCCCGGGTTCTCGTCTATTGCAGCCAAGTATGTATAATTATGTTTTATTTGTTTGCAATATAATCTAGGTAAGACGATTCCAACACCTATCAAACACTGACCTAAACCAATGTAACAATTTCAGATATTGCAGATAGATTTCCTACAGTTACCTAAATGTTGTACCCATGCATATGTAATTGTTTGTGTTGACCAATTCCCTGGGTCCATTGTAAAAGCTTCAGATGAAGCTATAGCTAATGAGTTAATTGCAGAGATTGTCTACAGTTATGGACTGCCTGAGGTATTATCCTCTGATCAAGGTACACGTTTCATGGGACAGGTTATGTAATTAATCTGCACAAAGACATTGGGATTCATCAAATGTTACACACCATATCATCCCCAAGCTAGTGGGAAAGTCTAAAGGGTGTTCTTAAAAGCAGGCTAAGTAAAGTCTGTGCAGAGACTAAACTTGTGTGGCCAGATGCCCTTGATATAGTGCTTATGTCTGTCATGCACACTCCCCAAAGGCTAAGTACACTCTCCCCATATGAAATATTGTTTGGGAGACAAGCACGCATGGCTCAGTACTTTCCTTCTACTCATCTTCTTTGCATGAACTATGGAAGAATGACTGAATATGTTTCTCAGTTACATAAGGAACTGACCAAATTGTGTTCTCGAGTTTATTCTTCATTACCAGATCCAGCGGATGTTCTGGAACCACATGCTCTCATTCCAGGAGATTGGATCCTCATAAGGAGACACAGTGCCAAAGATCTTCAACCTCGCTGAAAATGACCATTCCAGGTACTCCTAGTCACAGAAACAGCTGTAAAGGTTGAAGGGAAACCGAAATCTCAACTTCCACCTGCGGTGTAAGTGGGGGGGAATTGTAGGACATAATAACGCCTCTTTCCCTCCACCACCTAAGTCCCAGGGACCCTAACGTGCAGTGCAAAAGACGTAGGTCCCCATCGGGTGAAGATCCTCAGCAGCACCATCATGTCTCTGTGTGCCAGATGCTTTGGCCCAAGGCCAGATAAAAGACTTATCATCTGTGTCTCCGTACTGCACATCATTATCTTCGTTGCTGTGCTGACGATAGCACTCATAAAGCCTGCAGGCAACGACAACTCACAAGTAAACAAACAGCAGCCTCACCAACTTCGGAGGCTAATATGTCGTCAACCGATCAGGTTAAGGTTGTCAAAAGAGACTTATATGCATAACTGTTTGAGCCTAATGATAATGCTTTTGTTAAAATGTATGTTATAACAGCATCCACACTATTACTGATTGATGGATATGTACACATTATCCTTTGTCAGCTCGCAGTATGACATACGTAGCAGAATCTCTATCCTGTCAGGATATAGTTAACAGGCCTTGGGGTAATTTGACACTTCTCCAGTTTCATAAAACGGTGTCGCCCAAGGATATTGGTAAGTTGGTACACTTATGTTCTGATGGCCTTTGTATCAACAGTTCCGCTAATCATCTATACCTCCTTACACTTTACCTTCACCTTATTACTTTGTTTGTGGTAAATGTGCCTATCCGTGGCTACCAAAAGGCTCCCATGGTGTATGTATGATTGCTAAATTGCTTCATCCCACCTGGTATATGGAAGCTAAAGATATTAAGATAGCTCAGATTCCAGCACACTTCCTAATGAAGCGTGCATCTTTAAAGGTAAGGCAAGAGCTCTCTTTAACTTCCCCTGAGGTAAATAGATGTTGCATTAAGAAAGCCTTTAGCCTTATGTCTAGTATGTTGTTGCTTGATAACATTACTACTGAATATGACAACAGTTTGAAGAAGGAAGTTCTGCCGCATTGTTTAGTGTTAGATTATCTTCCAGCTAGTCAAGGAGGGTTAGGTACAGTTGTAATTACATTGATGACAAGCACCTGGTAAAGGTTTAGCAGAGGAAGGACACCTTTTTAACCAATCACAAGGAACAATCCATCTTCCCCTGGTTGGACCCATCCACATGGTTCCACGATATCAGTGCTAAGATTTTCCATACCATTCTGTATGTCCTCGTTTGTGTTGGTGTCATCCTTCTAGTCATCTATTGTCTACCTAACATCATTTGTTGCTGTTGTTCTTGCTGTACCTCCTTATTGTCTCACTCTTTTCTAAAGGCAAGCTCTTCTAAACCTGTTCTGTTCTATCCTAAGAACACTAAAAGTCTAAAAATTGACTTCAATGAACCACCACAGTGTATGAACATTATATACCAGATGTATTCTCATATAGGTTGTATGCATTGCATTTATAAGGTATGCTATGTTTAATTGTTTGTTTTGTATTATGGTTGTCAGAAGAACTGACAAAACGGGGGATTGTGGAAGGAAAAGTCTTGCAGGCCCTAGATGGCCCCTCGCATTCCTAAGCCCCCCTCCAAGGTAGACTGAGCAGTTTCAAAGTGCCCATGGGGCCCTTCTATGAACTGTTTCAAGACTACCCAGGAGACAGTGTGCCATCTGAGAAGGTCCTTATCAGTAGTATGTTATGTTATCCTTTTGCTTCTAGCAGGTGCCCTGGCCTTGAAGCTCTCCCACTATGTTACTCCCTTCTCGTTCACATAGCTAGCTAACACTAGATAATTGTACACTGAGACACTATGATAGATACTTGGCAATACTCCCTTTTCTCCCTAGAGAGGCCTTTTCCCATTGAAGTTCCTCTCCTGAAGGGTATATAATGTGTGGTCAATCTTTTGTTTCTCAGTTCTGACCTACTTGTGTATCAGAACCCACGGAGCTCGTGTATGTTTATTATATAAATAATAAACTTGGATTATTCCTTTTACCTCGGTGATCTCCGGTCTTTGGATTATTCCCTAACAAAATGGTGGAGATAATGCGGGCAGGCTCAAGACGCTGACTTCACCCATCCACAGTGAGGACCCGGAGAACTAACGGGACAGGAGTGGCCACACAGGGTAAGCATACCTTGTTCTGTCTCCTTTCTTCTCCGGTTCCAAACGGACAGGGTGTTGCTGTGCAAGCAGCCTGACCCAAGGTGATCACTCGAGGTATCTATGTTTGTCTTAACCATGTGTCCTGTATGAATGTGCATGTGATTGGGGACTAATTGCAAAGTGAAAAAGTTCTAACTTTTCTATACTCTTGCTGCTTATAAGAATTGTAC